CTTTTACTGCTAAATATAAAACATAAATAGAGTACTGTTTATAACTGTACATCGCAGTGTTCTCGCACTTAGCTGGTACATAGACACAAACGTAGATTTACAATAGATATACACTTATAACATCGTTATTTACACATATAAACGACATAATTAAAGTTATAAGTTTTAATACATAACTACATTGCAGTGTTTTAGCTGAATAAGCGTCGACATAACGTCTATCGTGTGTTATTTTATTTTTTTAATCAAATATTTCATTTCCCTTCCCTGCTCATTTAGGGTACTCGCCACCTGGTGACGGAAAATAAGAACGCACTTCGTTTAAACACTCGCTTTGTAGTTAAAAATACTTTCTTAGCAAAGCCACTAAAACGTTGATACGTGTGGGAAAGTTGCATGAATTTATATCGTTATTTAATATGTTTAAATCGGTTTAGTATTTTACCAAAACGGACTATGTAAGTTTTAATACACAACTACATTGCAGTGTTTTAGCTGAATAAGCGTCGACATAACGTCTATCGTGTGTTATTTTATTTTTTTAATCAAATATTTCATTTCCCTTCCCTGCTCATTTAGGGTACTCGCCACCTGGTGACGGAAAATAAGAACGCACTTCGTTTAAACACTCGCTTTGTAGTTAAAAATACTTTCTTAGCAAAGCCACTAAAACGTTGATACATGTGGGAAAGTTGCATGAATTTATATCGTTATTTAATATGTTTAAATCGGTTTAGTATTTTACCAAAACGGACTATTTCGTGAAATTTTCACAAGGGTGTTTTTTTGTTTTGGCGGATGGATACAAATTTTAGGCCTCCCGTGGCAAAGTGATGTTCGGTTTTGCTCCGCCAACAAGCATTTACTAACATAGTGCCCGTCAATTGACATCGACGGGGTTTCCCTGGATATTCCAGGGGTTTGCCCGCGACTGCATTATAGTCATGCGCCCTCCAGTGGCTCAAATATACAACTACACATAGAGTAGACAACCTAATGGCCGGACCTTGTTGTTGGCGGAGCTAAACCGAACAACCGACCGCATCACCAGCCAAAATTTCATCATAAATTGTGTTCCTACGCTAAACTGCCCTTGTGGAAAATGAAGGAAATAGACACCTTTCGACGGAAGAAAAGCGAATAAAAAAATAATAAAATAACGATATAAATTAATGCAACTTTCTCACACGTTTCAACGTTTTTGTACCTTTCCTAAAAAGCTATTTTTTACTACAAAGCGAGTGTTTAAACGAAGTGCGTTCTGATTTTCCGTCACCAGATGGCGAGTACACAAAATGAGCAGGAAATGGAAATTCAATCATTGATTTAAATGAAACCAGGTTTTGCCAAGTATTATCGACTTTTTTCAGACAATAGAATGTTAACGAACAGTTATTTATTAAAAATAGATTTAAAGTAAAATGGCTGCCATGTTGATATAGTGTTCCTGTGATTTCTTTGCTGTATAACTATTTAAAATCGTCCATTTTGTCTAAAGTCACAGTAAAGGTTTTAAGAGAATCTTTGAGCAGACCAAAACAGACCTGGGTTATCATATTATTGCCTTGGCACATGTAACAAGTAACATTATTTGCTTGTTACTGCCCCAGTAATTTGTGTTGTTGCCCATATTAAATTTATAATTTAATTTAGGGGCAGTTCAACAGCAAACCACAAAATGAGCCTTTGTGTTGGTGGTTTGACATTTTACTGTAGTAATAGATTATTACAGTATTTACTGTTCCTAATAACCATTGTAATGTTAATGTTTATTACATTTATTTCCACAGAGAACCAGCAATAAAGTTCGCCATGGTAGGAATAGTGACAGGACATAGGTTGGTCAAGGCGTTTTAAAATGGTGGAATTTTCCATTACTATCAGTACCACAGGTCCATAATCTTAGGTCTATCGGTTCCAAGATACAGTAAGTCTAAATATAATGTGTGAATAACAAACATAAATATACCTGAGAAGGGCAAACCTGCCCTTTTAACCATGCTCTTCACCTTAGCTGTCCGGTCCACGCGTCGTGCTTGACCAGGTCCAGTCAACATCTGCCAGAGGACAAGGAACACAATCCTTGTGATCACCTCAGGCCCCTTATCCAGGATCCATCTTCTCCACACCAGGTTCAATATTTCGAGGAAAATGTGCCATGTTGTAAACAGCTAACATTAGCAGACAAACATTTGTGATTCATCCATCTATCCTTAAAAAAAAAGCAAGTCAGAAAATCTTATGAGAGTAATACTGATACTTTCTACTGCGAAAAAAATTGTACATAATAAAAACAGTACATGTGTAGTAGTACATGAAGTACCGTATACCCCAAACCAAGCAAACTGTACATTGAAGTATAAAATAATAAATTAACTGATTTGATTTATTCTGAGAAAGTTCCTTGTCTTTGCCGTGGGAAACGGCTGTAGAAATGCAGATAACGAGATCAATAATTAAGACTACAATGAAAATCTATGACGTCGACCTCAAATGTTGTCCATGCACACACCGTGCACGGACGTACTATTCAGTTGTTTTTTTTTATTTTTATTTTGAAACGGCAAATATAATCAAATACACAGTACACAGAACTTCATGCTTTATGTATTTAGAAAATTAAATTAAAAAATTAAATGAACTTTTATCCACTTCTGATCGTGATTTATCTTAGGCCAGCTGAGAAGGCCTTGCTGGCTCTGACCGCCCACCACTGCTGTCCAGTGTACACATGGACTTCCTGGACGTACATGTTCAGAGATCAATATTTTTGAAACGGCAAATAGAACCGAATACACAGTACGTAGAACGTCCAACGAAACATGACCTTTGTCGTCCGATTTGTTTGTTTCTTACTCTTGTTGATTGGACTGTTTCCAGCTTTTAATTTGGCGAGATGAGGGAGAATTACAACTTCCGGTGTAAAAAAAAAAAAAAAAAATCTTGCCGAGGTTTGATACTTTCCCGTGTACACGTACATTTCCCGTGTTCAGTATGGAGGATTTATTGATTAAAATACCAATTTTATGTAAAAATAAATAAATATATAAAATGATTTCACTATTTACTAAATATTAAATAATGAAAATAATTTTATATGTTTTCATTCTCAACAGGACAAGGTGGTGAGCTGAGCAACGGCTAAAGAAAACTGGAGTAAAAGTTGCTGCTGTATATGAGTTTATTATTATTATTATTATATTATTATGATTATTTTATTAAGGAAGGAGTTCAACATGCTCAGACTCATTATAGAGCTGGTGTCTGTTTTCAGTCAGAGCAGAAAATCCCATCAGCTTGAACACATTCTCTGGTGAAGAAAAAAACAAACAAATAAATAAACAATGTCTCACTGATAACTGATAGTTATTGCTTTATACAGTAATGACACTTACTGTATTCATTTGCACCCTGTTACAACCTAAAAGAGAATCAAATGTTTTGTAAATTTGTAGTTAATATATATAAAAAAAAATTTAACGTATTTTGTAAAATAAATGACAGAAATAATTGTCAAACTGACATCTCTGGGAAATAAGAAAGTAGAGTGTGTCATAAACATTTCACTGGCAAACCTAATGGAATACTTACATCTGGAAAGGCGGAGATTTCCATCATCACACCTGACCAATGAGTAATTAGAGAATAAGTACTCGTCCTTGCATGCCACTCGTATGACCACACCATATTTTATATATTTAACTCCATCGAGTTTCAACACGGGATAACGACTAGTGTCCAGAACGCAGTAGTCAACTGCACAACAAGAACAAAGGGTTTTGGTTACATTGATAACAGTAACAAAAGAAAACGGTAAGAACAAATGTCACCAAGTGCAGTAAATGGGAACAACCCAAAAAAAAAAAAACAGGTGTCATTTCCATTGTTACAGAGTCTTCGAAGCAGGAATAGGCTGAGCAGAAGTGAACATGTGAAGAGTCAGGGTCAGTTGTGTTCATACCTTTACAGGAGGGAAGTGCTGACCATGTTCCGTCTGAGTTACACACAACTCTCCTGGGACCCACTAGTCTGTACAAGGTGTTGCACTCGTACGTCAAAAATGTTTTCTCAGATGCATCCACAACTGCGTTTTCAACAGTGGGAAAATCTCCACAGCTGTAAACTGAAAAAAAAAACCAATAATAAAAATAAAACTTTATATACTCAGCTGGTAGTAGTATTTACTTAGCTGTGTTGTAGAATCTGTCCAAAATATCAATTATTATCTAAGAACAAATGCTATCATGTTTACCTGGAACTACTCGATTACAGTCACTTGAGTTTGAAAACAAGTGTAATATTGAAATCACCTTTGTCTTGATGGAATTGATACTTTTAATATTAGGAATGTACATGCCGTCAACTTTACACTGAGATTTCCATTAACGATACTAAATAAACGGTATAAGCTTCGCAAATATTAGTGGAAACCACATTAGACCTTGACTGACCAAACATACAAAGGTGTGATCTAAACCTGAGTGAGGGTCATGTTGCCTCAGCACTGGCTCAACACTGGCCTTCTCAAAGCAGTAAATGTTGATACACTGATACGTGCTGCTAATGCCTTTATGCTGGTGTGCGTTTCTTGTAGTCAGTGGACGATCTGAACCTTGGTATCGTGAAGAAGGCATTAACCACAGGACTGGATTCATTTAAAAAAAAAAATGCACTAGTATATTTTAAGACGGACTTTAAGATGCAAACTTTCTCTGTTGATCCTTCAAGTTTACTTTCGTCCCTACGGTTCAGTGAATGAGCCTCTAAACATCGTAGAGATGAAATGCAGTTGTCGGGAATGATGCCACCTCGCTGGGAAATGTTCCGGTAGGTTCTAAAGTGTTGGCTCCAAATTCACTTATTACTGGGTTGTCATCCCCTCTGAAACACAGCTCTATATTTCACTTTCAGCATGGAGAACACTGTCTACTTACTGCACACTGGAGTTTCAGACCAAAATCCAGCAATGCAAAAAACATCTGTTGTAGAGTTATTCTGCATTGAAGTGAATCCGTCTTCACATTGGTACGTCACATGTGAATCAACGGGATACACCTTTTGGTAATCATGACCGACGATGATAGCATGAGGGACCTGAGGGGGGGCACCACACGACTCTGGATCTCCTGGAGAACAAAGAAACATTTTAATTGTGTGTCGAAATACTGACTTCCTAATCTAACAAACTGAACAGGCTCACTCTCACAAACTGGCAAAGTCGACCAGGATCCGTTTTCACATTTGGCAGTTGTCTTGCGGTCCTTGTGTTCGTAGCCTTTTTCACATGTTACCCATATGACATGTCCATTCTCATACCATCTCTGTGGGTCTTTGGGCTGTTCTGAGTTTGGGACTGTTGGTGGAAGGCAGGCAAAAATTCAAAGTTAATATTTTAAAATAAATAATAAGAACCAAGTTTAAAAAAAAAAAAATCATAAGTGAAATTGACTGCACACTTCCTGAGTCAATGAGATACTGAGAAAACGTCGTGTTTAATCTGAAGGCTTTTTCTTACGCGACCCTTCTAACTTCCTACTGCTGACCCATTTCACTGACTGAAGGACATGGTGGAGAACACTGTCTACTTACTGCACACTGGAGTTTCAGACCATGATCCAGCAATGCAAAAAACCTTTGTTGCAGAGTCACTCTGCATTGAAGTGAATCCGTCTTCACATTGGTACGTCACATGTGAATCAACGGGATACACCTTTTGGTAATCATGACCGACGATGATAGCATGAGGGACCTGAGGGGGGGCATCACATGAATCTGGATCTCCTGGAGAACAAAGAAACATTGTAATTGTGTGTCTAAATACTGACTTCCTAATCTAACAAACTGAACAGGCTCACTCTCACAAACTGGCAAAGTCGACCAGGATCCGTTTTCACATTTGGCAGTTGTCTTGCGGTCCTTGTGTTCGTAGCCTTTTTCACATGTTACCCATATGACATGTCCATTCTCATACCATCTCTGTGGGTCTTTGGGCTGTTCTGAGTTTGGGATTGTTGGTGGAAGGCAGGATTTTTCATCTGTGAAAAATACAAAGAAAAAAAAAAACCCCAATGTTCTGCATGGCACAGTAAATCAATTAAAAACAAACTTGCAAAGCATGAAAACGAAAAGACAATCTAGTTTCCCTCCTCACCTATACACCGTGGTTCTGGAATCCAAGCATTACCCTGACATCTGCTGGTTGCCCACCATCCCTGCGCTGCTGGTTTATGACCTTCATGACAAGTGTAAGTGATGACTGCTTCAGGAGGATATTCATTCCTTACCGGAAGAAAATATCCGTCAGGAAGTATGGGATCACGACAGTTGTGATCGACTGACTGGGCTGAAAAGTCAAGGATAAAGACAGCGTTAAACATCGATGTGAGGTACAGACACTTTGTTAAAATGAGGAAAAGAGAAGGTTCTCACCAAACGTCAACACCACTCCAAAGACCAAAACCAGAGGAACAAGTCCAACACACTTCAGACTCATTTTGACAGAAGTGAATGAACAGCACACTGAGCCACCGTACTGAGCTCTGCTCCAGGTAATGACTGTGAGGGCATTACTCTGAAGGGCTGTCATATTAAGAAATAGTAAACATGATTCCAAGTTGTGACATTGGTCAGACATAAAAAAAAATAAAATAAAATAAACAACTTCATGGACTTTAGTCAGACTCAAACATTAGCTGTTTACACTGGTTTATGAGCAAAGTTCACAGGATAGTATTTGTACTGTGGTGCCTTTTATTTATTCAATCATTTAGATTTCTAAAGATGTGGAAAATAACTTTGGGGGTCACTTCATATTCTAACAATGACTCAATCTCTTGAGTGCTTGTTTTTGGAATCTCACATGGATTTGCCAGACTCACAGGGTCAGATGTCGTGAAAAAAGATCATTGTAACGCAAAGAACGTTTACTTTCCAGCAGTGGCGGGCCGTGCATTTCACACCTCGGCCTTCAGTAATGTCCTACATAGTCCGACTTCAATAAATACCTCTCATAATATTATAATTTAGGACACCACGTGACCACGGCTGGAGAAATTGTATACAGAAACACACTATAGGCAGTACTGGGCATTGCATCACCTTAATTGTGTACAAAACGGGCTATTTTCTGACGCATTAAAAACCAATAAATCCGCAAGTAAATAAATAAAGTAAATAAAATGTTTGCACTCACCAAAAACAGCTGTCCTCCAAAACACTTATTTCAACAGAAAATTCATTCTCCTTTCTTTCCTCAAGAAGACCTCAACGACTTGGTTGTATTTATCTGTGCGCTTCATTTCCAACAATAAATCCCTTCCGCACCTGTTCGTTGAGCTGTACATCCACTCCGGTGTCCCCAAAAGCTTTTAGAAGCACCGTAGCTTGTCTGGTCGTGCTGTGGTGTCTCATAGCTGCCTTAGTTAGTACACAAATCCACGTTTTGCCCTGGTTCTGCAAAAGGAATAAAAAATAGCGAGTAGATATTAAATTTCTCTCTCTGCTAATCAGTTAATCTGCGTTGAACTTACTTGTTATTTTACGGCGGGAAGCGAGTGTCCAATCACAGGACGCATACATGTCACGTTCAACGTGAGGCCAGCTCGAAGGCCTACTGTCAACAACTCATGATCTGATTGGCCGTCGTAACTGTCTATCAACTGTATGTGCCAGTTCCCTTCGGTTCGCTTACGTTGCACAGACGCCTTGTTGATTTTTTAATAAATATTAAATAATGAAAATAATTTTATATGTTTTTATTTCATGGTCTTGTTTTTGCCGCGGATTATGAAATAATTGGAGCTGCGTTTGTAAACCGAGGGGGAAGATAGTTGGATCATTTTCCTCATATAAGCTCAACATGACAAGGTGGTGAGCTGAGCAACTGCTAAAGAAAACTGGAGTAAAAGTTGCTGCTGTATATGAGTTTATTATTATTATTATTATATTATTATGATTATTTTATTAAGGAAGGAGTTCAACATGCTCAGACTCATTATAGAGCTGGTGTCTGTTTTCAGTCAGAGCAGAAAATCCCATCAGCTTGAACACATTC